GAGAGATTGGCATGGAGTGGGGTTCACTTGGGTGGGCAGGGAGTGAGGGGCTCACTTTGGGTGGGTGCAGGGTGGTGGGCTCACACAACGGGTGGTGGCAGAGAGGTGGGGGTTCACTTTGGGTGGTGGCAGAGGTGGAGGGCTCACCTTGGGGGTGGCAGGGAGGTGGGGGCTCACAACAGGAGGGTGGAAAGGCGGTGGGGGGCTCACAACGGGAGGGTGGCAAGGAGGTGGGGGGCTCACTTTGGGTGGGTGGCAGGGAGGTGGAGGGCTCACTTTGGGGGGGTGGCAGAGGAGGTGGGGGCTCACAACGGGGAGGTGAAGCGGTGGGGGCTCACAACGGGAGGGGCAGGGAGTGGGGGGCTCACAACGGGTGAAGGGGCAGAGAGTAGGGGGCCACTTTGGTGGAGGCAGGAGGTGGGGGGCCCGAATGGGTGGGTGCAAGCGGTGGGAGGGCTCACTTTGGGATGGGTGGCAGGAGGTGGGGGCTCAGAAGGGTGGGGCAGGGCGGTGGGGCTCCACTTTGGGTGGGTGGCAGGGAGGGGTGGGCTCATAACGGTGGTGCAGTAGTGGGGGCTCACAACGGGTGGTGGCAGGGAGTGGGGGCTCACAACGGTGGGTGGCAGGGAGTGGGGGGCTCACAACGGTGGGTGGCAGGTAGGTGGGGGCTCACAACGGTGGGTGGCAGGGAGTGGGGCTCACAACGGTGGGTGGCAGAGTAGGTGGGGGGCTCACAACGGTGGTGGGCAGGGAGGATGGGGGCTCCAACGGGTGGCGTGGGCAGGGAGGATGGGGGGCTCACACAAGGGATGGGTGGCAAGGGGCTGGGGCTCACACGGTGAGGTGCAGGGCGGTGGAGGGCTCACTTTGGGTGGAGTGGACAGGGAGGTGGGGAAGCTCACTTCGGGAGGGTGGCAGGGCGGTGGGAAGTGCTCACTTCGGGAGGGCGCAGGGAGTGGTGGGCTCACAACGGGAGTGTAGGAATGGTGGGATGCTCACTTCGGGAGAGTGTAGGATGGTGGGGGGCTCACTTTGGGTGGGTGGCAGGGAGGTGGGGAGCTCACTTCGGGAGGGTGGCAGGGCGGTGGGGGGCTCACAACGGAAGGGTGGCAGGGAGGTGGGGGGCTCACTTCGGGAGGGCGGCAGGGCGGTGGGGGGCTCACAACGGGAGGGTGGCAGTATGGTGGGGTGCTCACTTTGGGAGGGCGGCAGGGAGGTGGGGGGCTCACAACGGGAGGGTGGTAGGATGGTGGGGTGCTCACTTCGGGAGGGTGGCAGGGCGGTGGGGTGCTCACTTCGGGTGGGTGGCAGGGCGGTGGGGTGCTCACTTCGGGAGGGTGGTAGGATGGTGGGGCACTCACTTCGGGAGGGCGGCAGGGCGGTGGGGGGCTCACAGCGGTGAGGCTTAGGGATGTGGGCACCAACCCAAGTGCCTGCGACTGCCTGTCCACCTACCTGGTCACGAAAGACAGGTGCTGTCTCTGTGTGTCCCTGTGTGCACCGGGTGTCCAGCCAGGCCCAGTGAGGGCTGGCAGGAGGCAGGTGGGCACTTCCCCGGAAGCCCCTGTGTCTGAGTTCTCAGAGTCAGGTTTGGGGTGTCCCCCCTGGCTGGGGGTGTCTCTGCATTTCCCTTTTGGGTCATTTTGTGAGTGAACTGCACTGCGGGGGCTCGGCGGGGACAGGGCAGGTTTGGGGGACAGCGTCCGGCCTGAGAAGAAGTAGTTGGCCGGTGGCAGCCCCCGCACGAGGGTTTTCACCAGAGTCCGGTGCACCCGTCTCCCCGGGCTCGGTGTCCCAGCCCAGGCCCCCCTGGCGTGAACCCGCCGCCCGCACATCTGTCCCGGGGGAGCTGAGGGCCTACAGGTTGGGCTCCTAGAGCAGCTGCCACCGGTGGGATCGCAGTGACGGCACCCCACAGCTGGGGCTCACCCTGGGAACAGCCCTGTCCTCCCCACCGAGGGTCCCTCCCGCTCCGCCCCACGTGGAGCCCCGCGGCACTGGCCTTCCTGACTCTCCACCATCCTGCGCTGGGGAGAGGGACGAGGCCCCGCCAGCCAGGCCCTGGGCACGGAGGGCAGGGCAGGCCCAGGGCCTCAGGTGTGGGCCAGGTACCACGTGCCCCGGCCGGGGCAGTGCCCGAGCCTCACACTCCCGGCCCAGAGCGTAAGGAGGTGTCTGGTCCCGGCAGGTGGGCGCCGCTGCTCCTGGGCACCCCAGCTCGCCGTACGCCCCTGCCGGGGGCTCCCACCGCCCTGCTCGCCTCCCTGTCTGGGCAAACGGAGCTCAGAGAGGCGGAGGTGCTCATGGCTGGGCGGCAGAGCCAGGCGCACACGCAGGCTGGGGCCCAGGACGTCCTGCCTGGGCATGCCCCAACCCCGGCGGAGGCCAGGCGGGCCGGTGTCCCGGGGCGGGGTGGCCTTTGCCGGGAGCTGGACGGGGCCAGGCGCGTCACGTGTAAGAGCCGGTGCACGGTGGAAACGCGGGCGCTCCGTTCATGGATCAGAGAACCCGCCTTTTCCTTCCTTGGGCACGGGATTCTCTACGCCCAGACCTCGCAGGTACCAGCCGCGCCCCAGATCAGGACACGGGCACGCAGCCTGATGGGGGACCCGAGACCCAGACTCCGGCCCCCTGTCCGTGGACTTCGTGTACGGAGCAGGAGCTCTAGGGCGAGGTTGCTGCCGTCAGCACAGCCCAGGGGGCAGCGGGGCAGACGCGGGCGGAACGTGGGGCCACACGCCGTCGGGGGCGAGGCAGAGGAGCCGGGGCCCTTGGGGCGGCCCCCGAGTAGCTGTCCCCCAGCTCTTAGGAATGAGGGAAGACGGGAAGCTGCTCCCGCAGCCAGCGGATCTGAACTGCCCCCTGGCTCCTCGTCTGTGTCACCTGGCTGCTCCCTGGGGACCGGGGACCCCACCTGTCACCGGGGTGTCCCTGAGGACTCCCCCACCCCCGCTCTGTCCCGCTCTCCGTCCTTCTCTCTGTCCCCCCACCATGGCTGCTCTGTCTATGTGTGCCGAGAGCCACCGTCCTGCACTCCGTGGGCAGAATAAGGACTGCATGTCACTTGGGGGGCTCAGGGGTGTCTGATCCCCGGCTGCCCATCCCCCTCCCCGCCACTCTGGGCCCTGGAGGGCAGGGGGCCCCCTCGGGCCGGGTGCTCGGTGCCTCCGCGGGAGCCCCGCATCCACGGAGCGAGGTGGGGCCTGGACCGCACACTGAGGCCAGTGCCGTCCACCGCATGCGGCAGCCTGTGACGGGCACGACTGAACACACGCATGAGTAACTGGGTGGACGTCCAGCGTCTGTCCCGGAGTCTCCCGGAGGCCCTGGCCACCTGGCAGGTGGGCGAGCCGCCGGCCGGCCCTCGGTGTGCTGCCAGCGGCTTAATGGGAGCTGCCTGTGCCGCAGCCTCGCCCACGGTGGGGTATAAAGTGCGCCCGGGCTGGGGCCGCGGCCGAGGCCCCTGTGCTTTAGGAGCATGGAGGGTCCCGTGCTGGCCCTGCTGGGGCTGTGCGTGGCGCTGGGCAGCGCTGGCACATGGGTCACAGAGTTGGAGAACTTGGACCTCATCCAGGTAGCGCAAGTCCCCGAGGATCAGGCGCTGCCCGGCTGCCCAGGAGGCTCTCCGGACCCAGTGCCTCTGGGGCCTTCGGCTGTGTGGGGGGACCCAGGCTGCCCTGGAATTTTCCCCGAGGGCCCCGATCCCGGACGCAGTGCGTCCGGGTGGCCCCGCAAACGCCACCCCTCAGTTTACAGGCCTCTGGTACGAGATCGCCTTCGCTGCCAAGAGGGGTGTGCACGGCGCCCACAGCAAGGTGGGGAAGACGGGCGGCGTGGCGTTTGAGCTGGAATTGAACGGCCCGGTCCTGATCAGGACGTTTTTCGAGTGAGCCGGCCGGGCGGGGCGACCGGGGGCCGCGAGCCCTTCTGCTGGGGTCTCTGCTCGCTGGGGGTCGGACTGGCCTGCGGGCAGAGAGTCCCCAGAGCAGGACACGATCTTGCCCTCTGGGGACGCCCCTTGGTGTCTCCTGAGGCAGTTTCAAGGGGTGACCTACGACCTCAGGGACAGTGTAGGGTGCGGCACCACCTCCAACGTCCACTGTGCCGCCTGCGAGGCTGGGGAGGTGGCAGCCATGCCCACAGGCCTGTGTGTGACTGGGGCGGAGCCTGGCCAGGCCCCCGGTGTGCACTTTCCGCCTGCTGCCACACCTGGGGCCTGGCCCAGTCCTCCTGGTGGTGTGTCTGGGAGGTGGCTCATTGCACCGGGCAGCTTCCCGCCGGGCTCGGTTAAGGCTGGGCGAGGTCCTGCCGCCGGGTGTCAGCAGGCCCTGACTCTGGGCCTGTCCTCCTGCTGGGTGGGGCTGAGGGCAGCTGGTGGCAGGCGTGTCCTTGTCCTTCCAGAGGGGGCCAGTGTATGACGGAGAAGGACGGGGCTATGCAGGTGGGCTACTCGGGGAGGTTTGTGATCCCAAGACTGTCTGGTAAGTGCCGCCAGGGGCTGGGGGCTGGTGGGGTGCGTCTTTCGGCTGTGCTGGGTCCTGCTCTGGGACTGTGTCCCGCCCGCTCACGGCTGCCCTGAGCAGGAGGGCCTGTCCCCTCCTGCGAGGACCCGGCCCCCGTGGGCGCCGTGTGGACGCCCGGCTAGGAGTCCTCACGTGCAGCCCCCAGCGCCAGGCCTGCCATGCCCGGTGCCCAGCGTCTCCTCCTCTTTCGAATGCTAGAAAATGTTTGTGGAGGCGTCTATGTGTCCTGGTCAATGAGAGTCCCTGTCCCCTATCCTTAGGGAGGTCTTTTCAGAGAACCAAAGGCCCATTTGAGCCGTGTGCATGCTTGTGCTTGTATGTGCATGCCTGTGTATATGTGTATATATGTGTGTGTATGTGTATGTATGTGTGTGTATACATGTGTATGCATGTGTATGTGTGTGTATACGTGTGTATGCATGTGGACACGGGCCAGGCAGGAGTGTGCCTGGGGCCGAGAGCCCTCACTGCTGCAGGACTGGGCGGGGCAGCCCCACCCGGGGCTGAGACTCAGAGGGCGGTGGCCCCGCAGGGGACAAGGAGGTGCTCGTGATGGACACGGACTACAGGACCTTCGCCATCATGGATGTGTCATCCATAGAGGATGTGACTCCGCATAGGATCTTGAAGCTGTACAGTAAGCCGGGGCTGGACTGGCAGGGCCGTGGGGACTTCGCCACTGAGAGGGGACAGGACGGAGCCCCGAGGCCAAGGCAGGCCCCAGCCAGCCTAGCACCCACGCTCGCCCGCAGCCCGGACCCCGGACAGCAATGAGTATGCCCTGGGGATGTTCCGGCAGCTGGCCCAGAAGAGCGGGCTCCGCAGCACGGACATCCACCTACTGGAGCGAGACCGTGAGTGGCCGCCCAGGGAGGGTCGGGCACAGACCCGGCCCGCCTTCCCCATTCCTCACCCCTGCGCTTCTGCCCACAGTGACCTGCGTGAAGCTGCTGCAGCCTGTGAGTGCACCCTGTCCCTGAGCCGGGGGCTGCTCTGGGCACCCGGGGGAGGGTCCTCTGGGGACCTGTGACAGGGCCGAGCTGAAGGGGTCTGGGGTCCTCGGCGTGCTGGCCCAGTGTGTCAGCCACGCTCACTGGCGTGGGGAGACCGGGATCCGGGGAACAGAGCCAGCCTCGGGGTCCGGTGTGTGCTCTCGGGGCCGGCTCCGCCTCCAGCCACAGTGGCTGGGTTGGTGTCCTGCCGTCGGGTCCCCCCAGCCCCTCACCCACCCTGTCCCGCAGGCAAGTACACCAAGCCCCTGAAGCAGGTAAGCCTGTGCCCCTCGGCCACACTGATGCCCCCGGGCCTGGTGGGAGGGCCCATTCGCCCCTGGCTCTGAACAGGACGCCCCCCGGCACCGATGGGGATCCTAGATGGAGCTGGAGCCTCCAGGGCGCTGGGCCCAGGCGGGGACGCTGGGTGCTGGGAGGTGGAGGTGCAGAGGGCGGCGGAAGGGGTGGCCCCGTGGCCCCGACTTTCTGTCCAGCAGAACCACACTGGGCTGCGGCCGGCTCCGCCCCTGCGGGGTCTGCCCAAGGTCGGGTGGGGCCCTGGGGGGCCGTCTCGGGGCCCCGCGTCTGGCGCTGTGCTGGCCCGTCACCTCCACTGGCCCCCGGAGGCGGGGCCTGTCACCCCACCGTGCAGACGGAGGAGTGGCGGCTCAGGCAGCTGGGCGCTCTGCCCAGAGCCAGGCGGCTGCACACGGCCAGGCACGCGGCCCCCACTGGCCACAGTCCCCGGGGCGGAGCGGGCTGAGCCTGCCCTCTCGCCACAGGAGGGGATTTAGCGGAGCTTCTGCTGCCGGACGGTTGCCAAGACCCGCCCCTCCCCCTCCCCCTCCCCCTCCCCTTCCCCCTCCAGCCCTACCTGAGGGGCTCTTGCACCTGCTCTGAATAAACTGTGCCACCAAAGCCACGGCCCCGCATGTCCTTCCTGGGCAATGATCCGAGGGAGGGTGGCATGGCGGCGGGGGGCCGGGCGGGGCTCACCGAGGTGAGGCTTAGGGATGTGGGCACCAACCTAAGTCCCAGTGACTGCCTGGCCTCTTACCTGGTCACAGAAGACAGGTCACTGTCCCTGTGTGTCCCTGTGTGCACCAGGTTTCCAGCCAGGCCCAGCGAGGGCTGGTGGGAGGCAGGTGGGTGGGCTTCCCTGGGCCCCCCACTTGGTCTGGCTTCTCAGTGTCAGTTTTGGGGTGTCCCCACCAGGCTGGGGGTGTCCTCTCTGGCTCCGTGAGTGTCCCAGGAGGGCCGTGCTGCCCCGTCAGTGAGGGGGGAGGGTGGCGGGTGCTCCGCACCGAGGAAGTGGACAGTGAGCGGGAGCAGCTCCCGGACGGAGCAGCTGCCGGAGCTTGAGGTGGGACTCATCCTCGAGGTCATGCAGTGCTGGGGCTGGGGGTCACCCAACACTGTGGAGGGACCTCGTTGACCCTCAGGTATTGACAGGGACCGGAAGGTCCCTGCAAGGGGCAAAGACAACACCCTAGACTCACCTTGAATCCTGAACTGAGCCCCGGAAGACCCACAGGAAAGACATTTCAGAGCAGGTAAGGTGTGCTGGGGGCCACCTGCGACTTTCCCCAGACCTGCCTGTCCAGAGCTGCGGCAGTTCCAAGGAGCTCGGCCTGGGATTGGATTTCCTGCTAGAAGGTTCTAGGCTGCTGGGACTGGCTGAGTGAAATACCACAGCCTGGGTGGCTTAGACAATAGAAATGTGTTTTCTGGCCAGGCTCGGTGGTTCACACCTGTAATCCTAGCACTCTGCGAGGCCAAGGAGGGCAGATTGCTCGAGGTCAGGAGTTCAAAACCAGCCTGAGCAAGAGTGAGACCCCGTCTCTACTAAAAATAGAAAGAAATTAATTGGCCAACTAATATATATAGAAAAAATCAGCCGGGCATGGTGGCGCATGCCTGTAGTCCCAGCTACTCGGGAGGCTGAGGCAGGAGGATTGCTTGAGCCCAGGAGTTGGAGGCTGCTGTGAGCTAGGCTGACACCACGGCACTCACTCTAGCCTGGGCGACAAAGCGAGACTCTGTCTCAAAAAAAAAAAAAAAAAAAGAAAGAAATGTGTTTTCTGACATTTCTGGAGGTCAGGGGTCTGAGATTAATGTCCTGGGAAATTCAATCTCCGAACTCTCTGCCTGGCTTATGGGTAGCAGCCGTCCTGTCTTGTGTTCACAGGGCAGAGAGAGTCATATCTGGTGTCTCTTCCTCTTATCACAAGGAATTAGGGCCACCCCCTTTTGATCTCACTTCACCTTTGCTACCTCCTAAGGGCCCTGTCTCCCAAAACATTGGCACTGGGAGTTAGGGCTTCAACATACGAATTTTGGGAGGACACAATTCGGTCTACAACAAAAGTCAACATGACTCAGAGGGTGATCATGGGATACAGGTCTCTACAACGCACCATCAGCAATGTCCTGCAAAGTTACTAGACATCCAAAGAAACACAAAAAATAAGACCTATGGTTAAAATAAAGTTACTGAAAATGGATTCTGAGAAAACCTAAAGTTGGTTTTCAAAGACAAAGGTCTAAAGCAGCCATTATAAGTAGTTAAAAGGAAAAAAAAAAAAAAACAAACCTAACAATTAATTAATGGCATGATAGAATTAAAAGATTAATTAATTAATGAAGAGAGAATAAATGAGTGAACTGTCGTGGCCTGTTTACAGGATGGAGGATGAACACAGAACATAAAACACAGATGCAGAACACAAAGAAAAACGCAGACACACGTACAAACGGTTGACTCGAGTCATAATACACCGGGTCTGTTTTATTTTTATACTCTAAAAGATTAAAGTTAGTTCCTTGTACGTACCCACCCAGGCATTGCAGCGATGGCCATAAATTCCAGAATAGCCTTAGGGAAGCAGACATCCCCTGACTCAGAATTTCCAGGTGGTTGCTCTAGGCACTAAGCATAGATAAAGGACCGAGATTAACAAAGATGGGCAAGGCGAGCCACAGGGGGCATTTCTCATCCCCAGCTTCTCTTAGGGTGACCCCCTAAGATCTTTGGCTGAACCCTGGCAACTGTGCATGGCTTAAGTCGCCCCTCCCTTGAGGGGTCTTACCTGTCATTGACTAACCAGCCATCTTATGGGGTGTATGCAGCAATCACAGGAACAATGTATTTATCGTGTGGCCTCCAGACCCCCAATGCCGTGAAGCGGGGTAGCTCTTGCTTACCTGCAACTCAGGTCCTTTGTTATGCCTCTAGGCAACACCTTTGTTTATCACAGGGAGCCTGTCCGGAACAGATTACTTTCAAATACTCTGGGCAGAACACGTACATTACTCACTAACTTTAATTCTTAAACTCAGAAAATATATGTCAGTCCCCTGTAAAGTACAACAAATGGAAATTACAACAAATGGAAACAAATTGGAAAGTACAACAAATGAAAGATGAATTTACTGGGTGGACTTAATAGTAGGTTGGAGACGACAAAAGAAAGTGTCCATGAATTTGAGCACAAAGCAATGTAAGCTGTCCAATCTGAGGGACAGAGAAGGGAGTGGTTGACAGCACCTTGAGACCTGGGGGGGAGGGGCAAGATCAAACCTGTAACATAGTCCCAGAAAGAAAAGAGAATGAGAATTGGGCAGAAAAATTATCTGAAGAAATGGTGGCCAAAATACCCCCAAACTTGACAGAAGACATCATCTTAGAGACCCCATAAGTTCAGAGAAACCTAAGCAAGATAAAATAAAGGAAAAAGCCTCACAAAATCCCCAGCCAGGGACACCGTCTTCGAAGTACTGCAAACCATGATTAGCAGAAAATTTTACAGGAGCCGTGGATAAAAGACAGGTCACGGCAGGGGACACGACGGCTGACTTCTCGCGGCAGACAGTAGAAGCCAGGGGACAATGGAAGTGCATCTTTGCCAAAAGGAAAGACTCAACCTCGAGTTCTGTGCCCAGGGAAAATGCCCTTCAAATAGGAGGGTGAAATAAAGATATTTGGAGACAAAAGGAAGTGGAGAGGATTTATGTCTAGTGCATATTCCGTACGACAGGTAAGTGCTAAGGATGTTGTCCAGGAGAAGGAAATGATGGTAGACGGCAACACGGATCCACCAGCAGGACAGCTGTGCGCCAGGGCTGGGGTCTGCCCGGGTCCTATGAGCACACGATTCTCCTCTCCTCTGTTTACTTGTTTATCTACACCAGGTGGATGCAGGGCTCTTACTTCCTTATGTAGGCTACAGTCTATTACCATGTTTCCCTGAAAATAAGACCTGCCCATAAAATAAGCCCTAGCAGGATTTCTAAGTGTTTGCACAATAGAAGCCCTACCCCGAAAATAAGACCTGGTGACAGGCGTGGCTACACAGCGCATCTGCACAACTCGTGCATGTCGTCGCACATCGGTAAAGAAGACGAGCAGCCCTTCTCATCTGCCCCATGAGAGCTCTATGGCTCCACATGAGAGATTGGGGCCGTTGGTTCTAACGGAAATAGAGTCACAAGACATTCAGGATGGAATTCGGGGTTTGGAGAGTGATGATGATGTTCCAGAAGAAGACAACTTAACTCTATTTGAATAAACGTAGATTGTTGTACCGTACTAAAAAAAAAAAAAACACGTCCCCTGAAAATGAGCCCTAGGCTGTCTTCTTGAGGAAAAGTAAATATAAGACCCTGTTTTATTTTCTGGGAAACCCGGTACTATCGTTGATTCTGATGCTCAGATCCACCCAGTGGGAGTGCCTTCCAGGCAGCTTCAGAGTGTGACACCCCCACGATGCCTTGAGCACATTTGCTTCTGGCACCAAAAACATTCCAAGTTCCTCTTACGTTTTTTTGCGACACAGGCTCCGGATAATTTCTCCAAGGAGTCCTGGTTCCTTTTGCACAGAACAGTGTTTTAAAAACCAAGATCCGAGTGCTTGGTGTGCTCAGTTTTGCTCTCACTGGGAGGCAGTTGCATCTTAACCTTCTCAGCAGGCAGAGCGTGGACACCCCCCTTCCTTCTTCTCCTCTGCATTTGCGACTCTCTTTTCCAACACTGGAAAACCCATTCCCTTCCATGTATTCACTCACCTGATCTACCCTGGAGCAGGTGGAAATAGCTTCAGAACTGCTCGTCCAAACCACCAGGAAAAGCAAACCTGCTAACTGGAACTCTGTGTTTCACAGCTTCTTCAGTCTTTAGCTTGAGAATGCAGAGCAAAACGTACTCTGTCCAAAAGATACTCAGGGTAGCTCTTTTTTTTTCCCTTCGGTGTGGCTATGGCATTTACTCACACCACAACTGCACTGCATTTTAAGGATTTGCGCATTTTATTTTTGAGTGTGCTATACCAAACCACCGTGATTCCAGAGTCAAGCTGCACATTCCAGCTCACCCTGCGTGGGGAACCAGTCTCCTTAGACTCCGATTCCTACTTCTTGTGTTTCTTTTTGCAGAAATAAACGTGCACATGTGCATTTTTTTTTTTTTGAGACAGAGTCTCGCTTTGTTGCCCAGGCTAGAGTGAGTGCCATGGCGTCAGCCTAGCTCACAGCAACCTCAAACTCCTGGGCTCAAGGGATCCTCCTGCCTCAGCCTCCCAAGTAGCTGGGACTACAGGCTGCGCCACCATGCCCAGCTAGTTTTTTTTTTCTATATATATTAGTTGGCCAATTAATTTCTTTCTTTCTTTCTTTTTTTTTTTTTGAGACAGAGTCTCGCTTTCTTGCCTAGGCTAGAGTGAGTGCCATGGCGTCAGCCTAGCTCACAGCAACCTCAAACTCCTGGGCTCAAGCAATCCTCCTGCCTCAGCCTCCCGAGTAGCTGGGACTACAGGCACAAGCCACCATGCCCGGCTGATTTTTATATATATTAG